GCAAATCTCTTCTCCCATTCTGTTGGTTGCCTTTTAGTTTTGCTAAATTTTGCATCAATTTTATTTTGATGAGGTCCCAATAGTTCATTTTTGCTTGTTTCCCTTGCTTCCAGAGATGTGTTGAGTAAGACGTTGCTGTGGCCAAGGTCAAAGAGGTTTTTGTCTGCTTTCTTCTCTAGAAAAGGCTTCTCTAGAAAAGCCTTTGATGGCTTCCTGTCTTATATTTAGGTCTTTCATCCATTTTGAGTTTACTTTTGTGTCTGGTGTTAGAAAGTGGTCCAGGTTCATTTTTCTGCATGTTGCTGTCTGGTTTTACCAGTACCACTTGTTAAAGAGACTGTCTTTATTCCATTGGATATTCTTTCCTACTTTGTCAAAGATGAGTTGGCCATAGTTTCTGGGTCCATTTCTGGGTTCTCTATTCTGTTCCATTGGTCCGAGTGTCTGTTCTTGTGCCAGTACCATACTGTTTTGATGATGACAGCTTTGTAATACAGCTTGAACCACAGGATTGTGATGCCTCCTGCTTTGGTTTTCTTTTTCAAGATTGCTTTGGCTATTCGGGGTCTTTTCTGGTTCCATACAAAGTTTAGGATTCTTCGTTCTAGCTCTGTGAAGAATGCTGGTATTATTTTGATAGGGATTGCATTGAATATGTAGATTGCTTTGGGCAGTATTAACGTTTTAACAATATTTGCTCTTCCTATCCTGGAGCATGGAATATTTTTCCATTTTTTTGTGTCTTCAATTTCTTTCATAAACTTTCTATAGTTTTCAGTGTATAGATTTTTCACTTCTTTGGTTAGATTTATTCCTAGGTATTTTATGGGTTTTGGTGAAATTGTAAATGGGATCGATCCCTTGATTTATTCTCCTGTTGCTTCATTGTTGGTGTATAGGAATGCAACCGATTTCTGTGCATTGATTTTATAACCTGCGACTTTGCTGAATTCATGGATCAGTTCTAGCAGTTTTTTCATGGAATCTTTTGGGTTTTCCATATACAGTGTCTTGTCATCCTTGAAGAGTGAAAGTTTGATCTCCTCCTAGCCAATTTGGATGCCTTTTATTTCTTTATGTTGTCTGATTGCTGAGGCTAAGACTTCTAATACTATGTTGAATAACATTGGTGAGAGTGGATATTCCTTTCTTTTTTCTGACCTTAGGTGTAAAGCTCTCTGTTTTTCCCCATTGAGGATGATATTAGCATTGGGTCTTTCATATATGGCTTTTATGATCTTAAGGTATGATCCTTCTATTTTCTTGAGGGTTTTTATCAAGAAAGGATGCTTTATTTTGTCAAATGCTTTCTCTGCATCTATTGAGAGGATCATGTGGTTCTTGTCCTTTCTTTGATTGATGTGATGAATCACATTGATTGTTTTGGGGATATTGAATCATCCCTGAATCCCAGGTATAAATCCCACTTGGTCGTGGTGAATAATTTTTTTTTAATGTATTGTTGGATCCAGTTGACTAATATCTTGTTGAGGATTTTTGCGTCCATGTTCATCAGGGAAATTGGCCTATACTTTTCCTTTTTAGTGGGATCTTTGTCTGGTTTTGGAATCAAGGTAACGCTGGCTTCATGGAAAGAGTTTGGAAGTTTTCCTCCCTTTTTAACTTTTTTGGAACAGCTTTAAGAGAATAGGTGTTAACTCTTCCTTAAAGTTTTGGTAAACATCCCCTGGAAAGCCATCTGGCCCTGGACTCTTGTTTTTTGGGGGATTTTTTTTATTATTAATTCAATTTCTTTACAGGTTATGGGTCTGTTCAAATTTTCTATTTCTTCCTGTTTCAGTTTTGGTAGCTTATATGTTTCTAGGAATTTTTCCATTTCTTCCAGGTTGCCCATTTTATCGGCGTATAATTGCTCATAATATTCTCTTATTATTGTTTTTATTTATGATGATTTGGTCATGTTCTCTCCTCTTTCATTCTTGATTTTATTCATTTGGTTTCTTTCATTTTTCTTTTTGATTAAACTGGCTAGTGGCTTATCAATCTTGTTAGTTCTGTAAAGAACCAGCTTCTGGTTTCGTTGATCTGTTCTATTGGGTTTTTGTTTGTTTGTTTGTTTGTTTATTTGGTTGGTTGGTTGGCTTTTGATAGCATTGGTTTCTGCTCAAATCTTTATTATTTCCTGCTTATGCTGGTTTGGGGTTCTATTTGCTATTCTTTTTCCAGCTCTTTGAGGTGTAAGGTTAGGTTGTGTATCTGAGATCTTTCTTCCTTCTTTAGAAAGGCCTGGATTGCTATATACTTCCCTCTTATGACTGCCTTTGCTATGTCGCAGAGTATTGGGACTGTGGTGTTATCATTTTCATTGGCTTCCATGTATTTTTAATTTCTTCTTTAACTTCTTGGTTAGCCTATCCATTCTTTAGTAGGATGTTCTTTAGCCTCCAAGTATTTGTTACCTTTCCAAATTTTTTCTTGTGGTTGATTTCAAGTTTCACAGCATTGTGGTCTGAAAATATGCATGGTCTGATCTTGATCTTTTTGTACTTGTTGAGAACTGATTTGTGTCCCAGTATGTGATCTATTCTGGAGAACGTTCCATGTGCACTGAAGAAGAATGTGTATTCTGCTGCCTTAAGATGAAATGTTCTGAATATATCTGTTAAGTCCATCTGGTCCAGTGTATCATTCAAAATCATTGTTTCTTTGTTGATTTTCTGATTAGACGATCTATCCATTGCTTTAAGTGAGGTGGTGAAGTCCCCTACTATTATGATATTATTATCAATGAGTTTCTCTATGTTTGTAATTGATCTATATCTTTGGGTGTTTCCACATTTGGAGCATAAATGTTTACAATTGCTAGGTCTTCTTGGTAGATAGACCCCTTAAGTATGACATAATGCTCTTCTTCATCTCTTGTTACAGTCTCTATTTTAAAGTCTAGATTGTCTGATATTAGTATGGCTACTCTGGCTGTCTTTTGTTGACCATTAGCATGATAGATGGTTCTCCATCCCCTTACTGTCAATCTGAAGGTGTCTTTAGGTCTAAAGTGAGTCTCTTATAAACAGCATATAGATGGATCTTGTTTTCTTATCTATTCTGTTACCCTGTGTCTTTTGATTGAAGCATTTAGTCCATTGATGTTTAGAGTGAGTGCTGAAAGATATGAATTTATTGCCATTATGTTTCTTGTAGAGTTGGAGTGTCTGGTGGTGTTCTCTGGTCCTTTCTAGTCTTTGTTGCTTTTGGTAATTAATTAGTCTTTTCTCCTCTCAGAGAGTCCCCCTTAAAATTTCTTGCAGGACTGATTTAGTGATCACGAACTCCTTTAATTTTTGTCTGGGAAACTTTTAATTTAATTGTCATTTTGAATGACAGCCTTGCTGGATAAAGAATTCTTGGCTGCATATCTTTCCAATTCAGCACATTGAATATGTCCTGCCACTCCTTTCTGGCCTGCCAGGTTTCGGTGCATAGGTCTGCTGCAAACCTAATTTATCTTCCCTTGTAGGTTAAGGACTATTTTTCCCTTGCTGCTGTCATGATTGTTTCCTTGCCTGAGTATTTTGTGAATTTGACTATGATATGCCTTGTGGATGGTCAGTTTTTGTTGAATCTAATGGGAGTCCTCTGTGCTTCCTGGATTTTGATGTCTGTGTCTTTCCCCAGGTTAGGGAAATTTTCTGTTATGATTTGCTCATATAACCCTTCTACCCATTTTTCTCTCTCTTCACCTTCCAGAAACCCTATGATTTTAATGTTCCTTTTTAATGAGTCACTCATTTCTCTAATGCTTAAATCAAACTTTTTGCCTTACTCTCTCTCTTTTTTTCTCCATTATTCTCCATAAGTTTGTCCTCTCTATCACTCATTTGCTGCTCTGCCTCATCCATCCTTGCCACCGTGGCATCCATTCAAATTTGCAGCTCAGTTATAGCATTTTTTATTTCATCCTGACTAGCTTTTACTTCTTTTATCTCTGAAAAAGGGATTCTAATCTATTTTATAACCCATCTTGCTTGTATTTGTGTTGGTTAAGTCCTTGGCTGTCATTTCTTTCTGCTCCTTCTTTTGGGGTGAATTCCTTTGTTTCATCATTTTGAAGGAAAAAAAGAATTAATGAGGCAAAAAAATTTTCAGTTAAAAAGTCAAAATTAAAAAATTAAAAACATACACACACGCACAAAATCAAATGATGCTAGATCCTAAGTGCTTCTTGGTCTGGGTGTTGAAAGGGGCTTGATAGATTAGAGAAAAAAGAAAAACGTTTGAAAATTTGAAAAAATGGATACAATGAAATAGAATAAAATGAGATAGTTGAGGTAAAATAGAATTTGAAAAATTTACAAAAAAATAGAATATAGTAGAAGAAATTAAAGAAAAATATTTTTAATAAAAATTGAAAATAAAAATAAATTTTTTCTCTTTCTGTATTCAAGAAAGAGAAACGAGGGGTGCCTGGGTGGCTTAGTCGGTTAAGCGTCCAACTTTCGCTTAGGTCATGATCTCGCGGTTTGTGGGTTCGAGCCCCGTGTCGGGCTCTGTGCTGACTGCCAGCTCAGAGCCTGGAGGCTGTTTCAGAGTCTGTGACTCCCTCTCTCTCTGACCCTCCCCTGCTCACTCACGCTGTCTCTCTCTCTCTCTCTCCCAGAAATAAATAAAACATTTAAAAATATTAAAAATGAAAAAGAAAAAGAAACGAAAAAGAAAAAAATTGAATAGATGGACCAGCGAACAGCCTGAAATATGATTGAAATTACATCGTTTTCCCATAGAAGTCAACCCATGAAGCACTTTATACTCCCTAAAACTAAGGAGGCTGAAGAGTCGCGTTCTGAAGAGAGAGGTTAAGCCAGGTGGGCGGGGCTTAGTGTAATGGCAACGTTCTCCACTAGATGGCGCTGCTTGGCTTACTGGGGTGGATTGTTGTGGCGTTTGTAGGCGTGTATGCGCATGCGCGGGAGGGAAGAAAATGGCGTCACCCAACTACCCAGACTCTGCTCTCCTAACTCTGTTCTCCTGGTTCAGTCGTGCACCTGTCCTTTGTCTCCGGCTTCCATCTACACCCTGCTTTTACACTGCCCGTGACCAAGCCATCAGGTTGCCAGGCGGCACATCCTTCCTGAGTTTTATCTCGGATGCGGCTGTGTTTCCCAACCCCTTGTAGGGAACTGTCGCTTTGACCCGCTCTGACCCTCGGCGGGAGGGTCTCACCGAGCCATGGCCGGTGCCAGCCGCACCCAGGAACGTGAACGGCCCGTGCTGCTGCCGATGCCCGGAGACTGCGGCGGGTGCCAGCCCGCCCCCCAGAAAAAGTTCCCGCGTTTCAGGGATTATGGAAAATCACAACACACACCTGGCACCAGGCTTCCCCCTTAACAACCTTGTTCCAGCACCAGTGAATGTGTTTCTGCAGGATCCGCTGGGACCTTTGCGTGTGGGGAGTCCTCCCAGCAGGGGACCCACCTCTCCCCGTGTGGCCTGAGGACTCCCACACTTCACTCTGCTCCTGGGGGTTCGCCCTTCCTGCCCGAGCACCGCCAGGTAAGGAGATGGCGGAGTTTCAGACTCTGCGTTCCCTGTTTGTAGAGTCTTAATGGCGTTTAAACCCTCTCCTTTCTCCTTCCTCCCTTTTTAGTTCAGTCCCTGCAGCTGTTTCCACTTTTTCATTTTCTCTCCAGCTGCTTATGGGGGGTGCTTTTCCTATACTCTCCCCCATCTCTGTCCGCTCTCCGCAAGCAAAAACAGCTCCCTGCCCTCCGGCTTCTCTCTCCCCCAGTTCACCTCTCCGCGCCGCGTACCTGCCGAGTTCTGTGGTTCAGGTTGTGCAGATTGTTGTGTGAATCCTCAAGTCAGTTTTCTGGGTGTGCAGGCTGCTTAGTGTTGATCTGGCTGCATTTCATGGACACGAGACGGAAAAACAACTTCTGTGCTGTTCCGCTGTCTTCTCACATGGTACATTTTATTTATTTTTTTTGAAAAGTTAAAAATTCCCTAATTTTTTATTGTTTTATTTATTTCTGAGAGAGAGAGAGAGAGAGACAGTGTGAGCAGGGTAGGGTCAGAGAGAGAGACACAGAATCTGAAATCGGCTCCAGGCTCTGAGCTGTCAGCACAGAGCCCGACGCGGGGCTCGAACCCACGAACCGTGAGATCATGACCTGAGCTGAAGTCGGATGCTCAACCGACTGAGCCACCCAGGTGCCCCAAAAATTCCCTAATTTTTTATTCCTGGTACCACTACAACAATTTAGAGGGCAGTATACCTGATGTAATGAAAAGAAAAAGCAACAACGGTTAAAAGACCTCAGGAATGTACATCTAATTGACACTACATTGCATTGATCAATAGCTGCACTTTTTGCAAACTGTGGCTATGAAAGTCCTGAACAAGAAGGGTTTCCTGGTTAAGCTGCGGTAACTTTTCGGACTATGGATCATAGTTTCTTCTGTGACAGATTTTTACAGTTCCTCTGATGCATTTGGGACAACTGCCTCAAAGTAACCTGCAGCCTTCCTGACACCTCCTTGCTCCCCTGCTAAGAACTGTAGCTCTTTTCTTCTGAAAAATTTTAGAACCTTCTGCTACCATATCCACCACTTCCACCACCAGACCCATAACCACCATCATAGGGACGGCCTGAGCTTCTTCCACCAAAGCTGCTCCCCTTCATGGGTCCATCATTTTTTTTAATGTTTTATTTATTTTTGAGAGAGAGAGAGAGGCAGTGTGGGCAGGGGAGGGTCAGAGAGAGAGGGAGACACAGAATCTGAACCAGGCTCCAGGCTCTGAGGTGTCAGCACAGAGCCCGATGCGGGGCTTGAACCTACAAACTGAGATTGTGACCTGAGCATAAGTCAGACGCTTAACCGACTGAGCGACCCAGGCGCCCCAGTGTGCCCCATTTTTCAAAATGTTCTCTTAAACTATCATCTGTAGTTTCAAAGCTCAAACCACCAATAAACAGTTTTCTCAACTGTTTCGGTTCCTTTGGATCATGGCCCTCTATTTTGAGACTGGACTCGCCTCTACCAACTCGAGTTCAGTATGGGACCACATGGTACATTTTAAATAAATAGAACAATGTTCATCAGTTATCCCCCAGTGAAGTTGGAAAACTATTTAAAGAATTAATAAAATGGTTGGGATGCCTGGGTGGCTCAGTCAGTTAAGTGTCCAGCTTCGGCTCAGGTCATGATCTCACGGTTCGTGGGTTCAAGCCCCGTGTCGGGCTCTGTGCTGACAGCTCAGAGCCTGGAGCCTGCTTCGGATTCTTTGTCTCCCTCTCTCTCTCTGCCCCTCCCCCATCTGTGCTCTGCCTCTCTCTGTCTCTCAGAAATAAATAAATGTAAAAAAAATTCTTTAATGGTTAAGAGGGTAAATTTTAGGTTATGTATTTTATCTTCATGTTTATAAAAAATGTGGAGGCCACAGTTCAACATCTGGGCTCATCCAAGCCTTGTCTGACCGCAGGGGAGTTCCCTACCTGCGGCCCCTGTCCCCAGAGGGGTGGGGCTGTCCAGCCCCAGTCCTCGGACACCGGTCCTCGGCCATCGTTGCTCCCCGCAGCGGCCCCAGAAGCGTGACGTCATGTCAGGTTCACCGAGGGCTCAGAGTTTTTCTCAGTTTTTGTTTCCTCTCTTGTTGGAGAGAAAAGTCTGGATGTTTCTGCGGCTTTAGGATGAAGAGTTGCGGGCTGCCGCTTCACATATCATGCATTGTGTGTACTTCTGACAGCTCACATCTCCAAAGTTCTAATGTTCTCTCTGCTGCCGGGAAGGGCAGCCTCGGCCACTGGTTCCTGGGAGGCCATTGGAGCGGCAGGGCTGGTCATACCTGGAACATAGGGCTTTGAAAGCCAAGGGGGCGGCGGCGTAGCACCTGCTGATGCCTTCTGATGCTGACCCGCTGGCACCCTCCCCTCTGGTTGAAGGGTATATAGGTTTCCCGTGGCTGCTGTGGCAAACTTGGTGGCTTTAAAGAAACACACATGTATTATCTTGCCATTCTGGAAGTCAGAAGTCTGCAGTGGCTTTTACTGGGCGAACACCAAGGCATCTTCCTTCCGGAAGGCCCAGAGGACAATCCCTTTCCTTGCATTTTCTACCTTCTAGAAGCTGCCTGCACTCCTTGCATTGTGGCTCCTTCCTCATCTTCAAAGCTGGCAGCTTAGTGCCTCCCTATCTCTCTCTCTCTGACTCCTGCCCCCCCTGTTCTGAGGACCCTTGCGACGACATTGGACCCCCAGGGAACCCAGGATCTACTCTCTTTTCCAGATCCTTAACTGAATCCCGTCGACAAACGTGTTTCCGCGTTAGGTAACCTATTCACAGGTCCTGGCAGTGAGGCTGTGGGCATCTTTGGGGGGGGCGCATTATTGAGCCCCCCACGTGAGCTTCGCTGATGGAGAAGAAACTTCACCATTAGCTCCAAGGAGTGAGCAAGACATGGACTCTGAGCTATGTGTCCAAGCTGTGCCTTTCACCCTGCAGACCTCGGTTCCCTCATCTTCAAAATGGGACAGGAAGTCTCTCTTTGCCTTTTGCAGGTGACCTTCCTGCAGAGATCAGGCGAAATCAAGCGGGTGGAAATATGCCATGTCCACATGGTCTGCCAAGACACAGGTGACCAGTGACCCGAGACTGAGGTCAGCACTGATTTCTGCAACATTTACTGATCACCTGTTGTGTATGTGGTGTTGATGACAGGAAGGCAAGCCGAAATAGACTCAGATCCTGCCCTCCTGTAGAGCCTGGGGGACCTTCATTCATCGAGTGCCTGCTGTATACCAGGGAGGGTTCTAGGTGCTGTGGGTTGGTGGGATAGAGCCGCAGACAAAGCACAGTTTCCTGGAATTCACATTCTGGTAGTGGTGGTTGCCACGGAAGCGGGTAGCTGGTGCCCCGCGACCTGGCTTAGGCTGGCGGGGTTGGGGGCGGGGGAGGGATGGGGACCAGGGGCGGCTTTCTCCATGGCAATGACACTTGCTCTGAGATTGCTCAGACAAGGGCGAGTTAAGCTGAGACAAACGAAGGGCAGGGTATCCTAACAACAGGAAACAGCACTAGCAAATGTGTGAGTTTGCGTGGCCAGAGCGGGAGGAACAGGGGAGATGGGGGGAGGGGCGATCTGTGGGGACATCCTTGCTGTTTTTAAGGTCAGCAGGGAGCCATCAAGGGCTTTTTGCAGAGGGCGATCGCACGTGGGCTGGGCAGGGATGGGGCCACTGGGCCAGGTGCAGATTAGTCCTGGCAGGGGAGTCGGCGCGTGGGCACCCACCGGCCACCTGCACCCCTTTCTCTGGGGTTCCTCTATCTGCCTAGCCTGTCTCCTCCCAACAGTCCCGTCCCCCTACCCCCAGCTGAGTCTTTCCTTGCAGCTCCTGCCCCGTCCCCCAAACTTCCAGGATGCCGTTAGTTCAGCCAACACCTATCAGGCATCTACGGTGTGCCGGGTGCATTACGTTTATCACCACGCTGAGTTCCTCCAATAATCCTAGACAAAGGCCTGAAGACCGGGGTCAGATGTGAAGACTGAAGCCCAGGGATCCAGTCTGTTAAATGCAGACTGGACCCAGGCACTCAAGCATCACTGACTCTCAGGATGCACACGTGGCCCTGGGTCTTCAGTGAGCATTTGCTGAATCAGTGGGTGAGTGAGTGAGTGGTGGACAAGTCCTGTGTGGCTGGGGGAGAGAAGGAGTGGAAGTTGCCCGTGGAGAGGTGAGCAGGACTGAGATTGAGCAGGACTGGATGACCCGAGGGTGGCAGGCAGCCAGGGAAGGCTCCAGGCCGGGAGCTGCACGATCCAATTTAAGTTTGAGGATCAAGTTGCTGATAAGGGTGGTGTTAATCATGTCTGTCGCTAGGGGGCACTCGCGTCTTCCTCGAGATTATCTCCGGAGCCGCGCTGCGCACATGGCGGGTATGGGAGCACTTGAACCGTGGCCAGATCGAATCAAAATGTTAGTGTAAATTACATGCCAGGTTCCGAAGGCTTCATGAGAGAAAAAGAATGCAACATGCCTCGTTCGTGCTTTTTAAAATATCGGTGACATGTTGAAATGATGGTGTTTGGGGCGCAGTGGGATAAATACATTATATTGTTAAAGTTACATTGGTTTGTTGTTGTTTACCTTTTTAAAAGTTTGTTTATTTATTCTTTAGTAATCTCTACACCCAGGGTGGGGCTCAGACTCATGGCCCCGAGATCAAAGTCACGTGCTTTTCCCATGGAGTTCGTCAGACTCCCCTTCACTTTCCTGTAATGTAAGACTATCTACGTGGGTCATGTTTATATTGTATTGGCCAGTGCTGGCTTAGAGAGAAGTTACTATTTTTAACTCTTATAAGGGGGCAAATTATCCTCTTAAAAAAAATTTTCTTTTTGAGAGAGAGAGAGTGTGTTAGTGGGGAAGGGGTGCTGAGGGACAAAGGATATGAGGAGGGCTCTGTGCTGTCAGCTCCGATTTAGGGCTCAAACTCATGAACCTGAGATTATGACTTGAGCCAAAGTCAGATGCTTAACTGACTGAGTCACCCAGACGCCCCCAGTTTACAGAGTTTATTCCTTCCACTACTAAAAAGAAACACTGCAATAGATATTTTTATACCTATACTTCTATGTGCTAATGATTCTGTTTCTTTTTTTATTAAAAAAATTTTTTATGTTTGTTTATTTTTGAGAGACAGAGCGTGAGTGGGGGAGGAGCAGAGAGAGACACACACACAGAATCCGAAGCAGGTTCCAAGCTCTGAGCTGTCAGCACAGAGCCCGATGCAGGGCTCAAACCCGTGAACCATGAGATCATGACCTGAGCTGAAGTCAGATGCCCAACCAACTGAGCCACCCAGGCGCCCCTCATGATTCTGTTTCTAAGGGGAAAATTTCTAGGAGGGAGATGTTAGGTGAAGGGCTTGTGTGTTTTTAATTTTAATAGATGTTGTCAGGTTCTTGACATTAACCAACCGATTCTAAAGTTTATACAGAAAGGCAAAGACCTAGAATAGCCAACACAGTACTAAAGAACCAAGTTGGGGAACTGATACTTGCCAATGTCAAGACTTTCTGTAAAGCCACGGTAATGAGGACTGTTGGCAGACAGACAGATCAATGAAACAACAGAGAATATGCAAGCAGACCTGCACAAGTCACTTGATCCTTGGCAAAGAAGTAGAGGCCATTCAATGGATAAAGGCCAGTCCTTTGGACAGATGGTGCTGGAAGAATTGGACGTCCATATGCGTTAAAATGAGTCTAGACACACACCTTCCACCTCCCACAAAAGTGAACCCAAAAGAATCAAAACGAGGTACCTGGAATTAGCAAATTCAGAAACAGAAAGTAGAATCGAGGTTACCAGAAGCTGGGGGAGAGAGGTGGGAGGAGCTATTGTTTAATGAGTACCATTTCCCTTTGCGATAATAAAAAGTTCTGGAAATAAACAATGGTTGCACAGCACCCTGAATGTACTGAATGCCACTGAGCTCTACACTTACAAAAGGCTAAAATGGTAAATTGTATCTTATATATATTTTAACACACACACACACACACACACACACACACACACACGATCATAGACCTCGATGTAAAATATAAATCCATAAAACTTCTAGAAGGAAACACAGGAAAAAATCTAGGTGATCTTGGGTTTGGCAATGAGTTATTAGATACAATGTTAAAAGCATAATCCAGGGGCGCCTGGGGGGCTCAGTAAGTTGAGCGTCCGACTTTGGCTCAGGTCATGATCTCACGGTTCGTGTGTTCGAGCCCTGTGTTGGGTTCTGTGCTGACAGCTCAGAGCCAGGAGCCTGCTTCGGATTCTGTGTCTCCCTCTCTCTCTGCCCCCCACACCCCTGCTCATGCTCTGTCTCTCAAAAAAATGAATAAACATTAAAAAAGTTTTTTTTTAATTTGTAAGTTAGATTGTGGGTAATTTATAGACTTTTTATGTCAACCCAACAAACTGTCTTTCCATTGCTAAAGATTTTGCTTCCCCTCCTTCGATGAGATCTAATAATTTTGTTTGTATTGTATCTGTGCTGGTTTCATTAAACTTGTTCACAGGTAGTTTGTCATTTATAAACGTGCTGTTCCCTCATTTCCAAGTCTTTCAGTACTGTATTTCCATTCTATGCACTCATCTTACTAAATTCTTGCTAAAAGCACTTGAGCAACAAAGAGAGTTCACCTTATCTCTTCTTTTCAAATGTCTTTTTTTTTTTTAAGTAGGCTCCACGCTCAGCACAGAGCCCAATATGGGGTTTGAACTCATGACCCTGAGATCAAGAACTAAGCTGAGATTAAAAGTCACATCCTTAACTGAGCCTCCCAGTTGCCACTCTTCTTTTCAAATGTCTTTTTTTTTTTTAAGTAGGCTCCACGCTCAGCACAGAGCCCAATATGGGGTTTGAACTCATGACCCTGAGATCAAGAACTAAGCTGAGATTAAAAGTCACATCCTTAACTGAGCCTCCCAGTTGCCACTCTTCTTTTCAAATGTCTTTTTTTTTTTTAAGTAGGCTCCACGCTCAGCACAGAGCCCAATATGGGGTTTGAACTCATGACCCTGAGATCAAGAACTAAGCTGAGATTAAAAGTCACATCCTTAACTGAGCCTCCCAGTTGCCACTCTTCTTTTCAAATGTCTTATTGTTTTCTTATCTTTCTGCATTTGTTGGAATCCCCAAAACAGAGTTAGATAACCACAGTAAAAGTCAGCATATTGGTCTGTTTTCTAATTAGCATTTAGGCCAATATTTACTGTTGATTTTAGGGGAGTTGCTTTTATTGCACTTAAGCAACATCTTTCTCTTTTAATCCTTTACTTTTTATTATTTAAGTATATTTATTTAAGTAATCTCTGTGCCCAACGTGGGGCTCACACTCATGACCCCCAAGATTAAGACTTGCTCTCTCCTCCGACTGAGCCAACCACAGGGCCTGCAATTTCTTTCTCTTTTAAAATTTTACTTCACTTTTATTAGAAATGGCTGCTGAATGTTATCAAATGCTTCTAGGTACATGCTAATAGGATCATGTGGTTTTTCTCATTTGATAGAATGGTTTTTATTGGATTTCTCTAGAATCTGGAAATAAAGCATGACCGTGTCAATGACAACCAAATGACAATATTTGGCAACACTCAGAATTTTGGTGTTTTTTTTTTAAGTTTATTTATTTATTTTGAGAGAGAGGGAAAGTGCGAGTAGGGGGGGACAGAGAGAGAAGGAGACACAGAATCCCAAGCTGACTGTGCACTGTCAGCGCAGAGCCTGACACGGGACTCGAACCCACGAACCACGAGATCACAACCTGAGCCGAAGTCAGATGCTTAACTAACTGACTGAGCCACCAGGTGCCCCAAATTACTCCATGTTCTCAAGTGAGATTGATCTGTACTCTCCTGTCCTGTCATTTAGAACTGAATTCATGGAATTGAACTCATAAAATGAAGTCATAGACGCATCAGGGGAGTTTTCTGTGTTTTTCTATGGCATGAGTGACCTACTCAGATGTTCTGCTTGGTTCAGTGATCAAAATGTGCATTTTTCTCAGCAATCATTCATTTCCTCTAGGTTTTTCCGAATGTTGCCGGAGCTGTGTGTAGATTCTCACATTTAACCGTTTACGCTTAAACTGCAA